CGCGCGCGCGCGAAGCCCGCGTGGCGGGGCGATATGGAACTTGTGGTAAAACAGGTTGGTTTTCTTAACAATCCGCAAGAGCGCGCCCGCGCATGCTTTTTGTTGGACAGCCGCGGTGCGAAACCATGTACTTCCCTACCTAGGTTCTGCCTAGAAGGGTTCTTACTCTCTGGGCTTAAAGGGGCCGGGCAGTGGAAAGCGCCCCGAGCGGTTCCCCCGGCATCCGCCCCGCGGTTCCCCCAGTCCCCTGGGCGCTGTAGCTTTAGCTTTAGATTTAGCTTCAGCTTTAGCTTTAGCTTTAGCTTTAGATTTAGTTTAGCTTTAGCTTAGCTTCAGCTTAGCTTTAGCTTAGCTTTAGCTTAGCTGTAGCTTAGCTTTAACTTAGCTCTATCTTAGCTTTATCTTATCTGCAGCTTTGCTTTAGCTTAGTTTCAGTTTAGCTTTAGTTTAGCTTTAGCTTAGCTTCAGCTTAGCTTCAGCTTAGCTTCCGCTTAGCTTTAGCTTAGCTTTAGCTTAGCTTTAGCTTAGCTTTAGCTTAGCTTCAGCTTAGCTTTAGCTTAGCTTTAGCTTAGCCTTAGCTAAATTTTAGCTTAGCTTTAGCTTAGCTTTAGCTTAGCTGTACCTTAGTTTCACAATAGCTTTAGCTTAGCTGTAGCTTAGCTGTAGCTTAGCTCTAGCTCAGCTTTAGCCTAGCTTTACCTTAGCTTTAGCTTAGCTGCAGCTTAGCTGTAGCTTAGCTGCAGCTTAGCTTTAGCTTAGCTGCAGCTTAGCTTTAGCTTAGTTTTAGCTTCGCTTTAGCTTAGCATTCGCTTAGCTTCAGCCTAGCTTTACTGTTACTACTAATGCTGCTTTCCTAGGGGCCTCCAACTCCTAGGTAGGGTGCACTGGGATAATTTTATATGTATGTTGGGCACTCGGTATTGCAATCCTCGCGAAACCTGGGCGTTTGAAAGAAGTCGGCGCGCGCGACAACGCGCGCGCGCACATCCCCACAGCTGTCGCAATGGATTCTTGAAAACTGATGACGTTTTATGAACGAGCGCGCGAAAAATATTGCGCGCGCAAGATGACGGCGGGGGGCGATACTGGCCAGCCTGGGACGGCACGAAGTCATACCTAGGACGGCCAAAAGGGCAGGATCACAAGCAACTTGCCACACGGAAATGGGCGCGGATAATCTGGGGGGGGCGGGGCCATATATTTTGTGAATTAAGGGAAAAGGACTTTAACAAACGAGTTGACAAATCCCATGCTCTTGCAGACATCCCACCCGCCCACCCGCAACCTGGTTTGCCACTCTCATGCACCGGCAATTGCGATGAGTGCTAGGCGCCGGCTGGTGCATCTCTGCGGCCGCGCCAGCCCGCGCATGCACGCGCGCGCAACGGCCAGCTAGTCTGGCGCAACCGACGGGGCCGCCGCGGCGCTGACCGCTGGGCACATACGAGCGGGCACTTCAGTGCGAGTGACGATAGAGGCGATGCTGGTGACAATGTTGACACCAACGATGGCAGGGCCAATGACGGCACCAATGCTGATCACGCCGACGACGACGACGGCGTCCTCACGTCGGTGATGAAGGTTCGGGAAAGAGTTCGACATGCGCGCGCGGCCGACGCGCGACAGTGGCCACATGGTATAAATTGACACGGGTCACGCACCCCCCCCCCCAGCACGCTCACAAGGGCGTTCGAATGATTTCGGCATGCGGAACGAGAGGTCCGTTTGGCAGACTTCCATTGAAACGCTGAACCCCCCCCAAAAAAAAAAATATGGTGTTCTCGAGAATTCGCAAAAGCACGAGCGCACGTTTTTTTGAAAACGGATGTTGCGAAACCATATATTTGCGAATGGTTTCTGGGCGCTCGGATTTGAAAACCCTGCGAAGCCTAAAGATTTTAAAATATTTCGGCACGCGCGCGCGACGACGCGCGCGCATGCATTTCGTCCCGTTTACCTTTTTTGCGAAGGGTTCTCGCGACAGCACGCGCGCAACGGCGTTTGAACGATTTCAACATGCGCGCGCGAAGCCCGTTTGGTAGCATGTCATGAACACGTTGAAAAAACTAGTGCTTTCTTAAGAAGCAAAAGGCCCGCTGGCATAATTCCATGACAATGCTTGAAAACCTCTGGTTTGATTGTAAAAGTGTTTTGTTTGAAAACCTGTGTTGCGTAACCATGTGTATTTATTTTGTTTTGACATTCGGTTTTGAAGGACGTACGAAGCCGAGGGTTTTGGACATATTCCGGCATGCGCGCGCGACGACGCGCGCGCGCCTTTTCGTTGCAAGGGATTCATGAAAACTGCTACTTCTTAATAAACGAGAGCGCGCGCATAGTGCTCTCTGCAACGGATGACACGGGGTGTCGATACCGGCCTGCGTGGGATGGTACGAGCTCATGTTTAGGATGGACGCTGGGACAAAATCATATGCAAATTTCAATCAGAAGAGGGGTGCGGATAATCCTTGGGGGGAAGGGGGGGGAATCTAACTATGCGACGGCGCCACCAGCGACGGGCGGCACCGCCTGCAAAAGTCGCCACTTTCCCCGAGCGGCGGTGACGGCGACGGCAGCGACGGCAGCGCCGGGCGGCACCGCCCGCATAAGCCGCCACTCGCCCCGAGCGGCGGCGACAACGACGGCGACGGCGGCGACGGGAGGCACCGACCGCGCAAGCCGCCGATCACCCCGAGATGGTTCAGCCAACTAAGAACCCCTAAGTGCCAGCACTGTTTGTGGAAATACAATGATAATTAATACTACTACTACTACTACTACTACTACTACTACTACTACTACTACTACTACTACTACTACTACTACTACTACTACTACTACCTACTACTACTACTACTACTACTACTACTACTACTACTACTACTACTACTACTACTACTACTACTATTACTACTACTACTACTACTACTACTACTACTACTACTACTTCTACTACTACTACTACTACTACTACTACTACTACTACTACTACTACTACTACGACTGCTACTACTACTACTACTACTACTACTACTACGACGACGACTACTTCTAGAAGTAATGGTGTGGTTACTGCTGGTATTGCTATGTTGTACTAAATCCGCAGTGGCATTAGAATGGGTTTAAATAGTATGGCCAGTCGTACCATCACAGTTGTGGGGGAAATCTGATCGCACCATTTTCCAATGAGAGTGTTACTAGTAAGATTGGTGCCATGATTAGTAGTAGCATTGAAAATACCACTTATATGTGTAGTAGTAGCGGTAATGTAGCGGTAGTACACTTAGTAGCGTCATCATGATGCATATCATCAATAGTTGTGCTCGTAACATTCATAGTATTGCCTGTATAAGTCTCATGTGTAATGTTGTTAGTATTGATGTGAGTATACATTGCATTGATGATGTTATTGTTATCACTATGATCACCCGTATTATTCCTACTATTAATAATATGCGCATTGCTATCCCCAGGGTTCGTTACCTTAGTACTACCAGTATTGTTCGAATTCTCCTTACTGCTCGTCAGAGTGAGGGGGCCGAACGGTCATTCATTGTCCCTGGGTGCGTGGCTGAAGTGAGAATCCGTGGAGAAGGTTATGCTTGTTACGTTGCTTTTGTTTGTTGTCGTCATCCCCCCCGCGACCCACCCGCGACCCGCCCCACGACCCACCCCGCGACCCACCCCGCGACCCACCCCGCGACCCACCCCGCGACCCACCCCGCGACCCAACCTGCGACCCAACCCGCCACCCACTGGCGACCCCGCGACCCACCCGCGACCCACCCGCGACCCACCCGCGAGCCACCCGCGACCTCCCCCGCGACCCACCCGCGATCCGCCCCGCAACCCATCCGCGACCCTCCCGCGACCCACCCGCGACCCACTTGCGACCCACCCGCGACCCGCCCCGCGACCCACCCGCGACCCCCCCGCGACCCACCCGCGACCCACCCGCGACCGATCCACATTGGTTCGAAGAAAAGATCGGCGCCTGCGGTGGGCTCGTTGTATAACTTGTGAAACCTTGGCGCCTGCGGCGGGCATCTCCAGAGTCTCGCAAACTGTCGACGTCCTCACCACCCCCTCACTCTTATCCGCATCTGCGGGGTGCTACTATATTGTTGATATTATGATTACTTCTATGGGTCCTCATCCTCTTCCTCCTCCTCCTCCTCATCCTCCTCCTCCTCGACACCACCTCCCCCCTCACCATTCCTCATCCCTCTTCGCTTTCTCCTGCTTGCTCTCCTTCTACTCCACACCTCGTAATCAATCATAGTTTCCTCTGCATCATCTTCCATCCTCCGCTTGCCCGTTCGCCTCCTCCTCTTGCTGCTCTTCCTCCTCCTCCTCCTCTTCCTCCTCCTCCTCGTCCTCCTCCTCCTCGGCCTCCTCCTCCTCCTCCTCCTCCTCCTCCTCCTCCTCCTCCTCCTCCTCTTCTCCCTCCCCTCCCCCTCCTCCTCCTCCGCGTGTTCCTCCTCGTGTTCCTCCTCCTCGTTTGCCTCCTCCTCATCCTCCTCCTCCTCCTCCTCCTCCTCCTCCTCCTCATCTCATCATCATCATCATCATCATCATCATCATCATCATCATCATCATCATCATCATCATCATCATCATCATCATCATCATCCTCATCCTCATCCTCATCCTCATCCTCATCCTCATCCTCATCCTCATCCTCATCCTCATCCTCATCCTCATCCTCATCCTCATCATCCTCATCATCCTCATCATCCTCATCATCCTCTTCCTCCTCCTCCTCTTCCTCCTCCTCCTCCTCCTCCTCCTCCTCCTCCTCCTCATCCTCCCCCCCTGCCCCCTGCTCCTGCTACTCCTCCTCATCCTCCACCTCGTCGCCCTCCTCCGCCTCTTCTTCCTCCTCCTCTTCCTCCTCCTCCTCGTCTTCCTCCTCCTCGTTCTTGCGTTCGTCCTCCTCATACTCCTCCCTCATGCCTGTTTTCTCTTTCCCGCGGCAAGGTCGGAAGTTCGCAAGCTGCCTGCCAGTCGGCCGTCGAGCTGCCCAGGGCCTGCAACGACGACGCGTTGGGAAGCACCGGTTGGGCAAGACAGAATGCCCCCTGCACCGTTTCTGGCTGGAGGGGGGAAGAGAAGGGGCTAGCAGGAGGATGAGGGGGAGGAGGACGAGGAGGAGGTGGTGGTGGATGGGGGGGATGACAGGACGATGGGGGGACTGGAGGGGCGGAGAGGAGGAGGGGGAGGAAGTGGATGATGAGGAGGAGGAGGAGCAGAAGGAGGAGGAGGAGGAAGAAGAGTTCAGTTCAACGATCAAGCCCTTCGAGACCGGTTTCGGGTGGCTTGGGGAAATCGCTTCTGGCTCGAACTGGAACTCGGAACACGCTGATGCACTACCCATTTCGTCAGTTCGCCTTTCGGCAACCATGCTGCTACCTGCAAAACCTAAATCAGAAGCATGTGTTAGCGGTGCTGCAGCCACTGCGGAGGAGAGGGAAGACGACCTCACAATGACGAAGAAGGGGGGGGAACCCCAGGACCCGAGGAAGGCAAGAGAGGCAAGGAAGGGGCGAGGCAGCACAGAGACAGGCGGCAGGTGGCAGGCTGATGGATCTGGTGCATATCCAAGGAAATCTCGGTAGGGCTGATCATGAAGCCTTTCATCTGGGCGTTGGGGTCCTGCTGCTGCTCCTTCAGCTTGCGCTGCGGCCACGGCCTCGTCCTCACAGGGAAAGACTATGCTGCCGCGCAACGCGTACATAATGCGACTCTTCTGTTCGGCCCCTGTCTTGTCGTACGTCGGTAGCCCCACTAGCTCCCGGATGAGATTGCAGTTCTCGATGCCGGCGAAAAATGCGAAAAGGGCATGGGACACCGGGCCCGCGAGCTCTTTGCCATCGATTTCCTCGCTCTTGCTCATTTCCAGAAAGTCCTGAATCGAAGCGTTGGTCGCCTTGACGGTGCATCTCCCGTCGAGTTCTCGCCTTTTGCCCGACCGCTCGAACAGGTCCTCGCCCGCGCCCTTGTTGCGGCCGAGCATGATCCGACAGCGAAACTCTGTCCTCGTAACCTCGCCAGTCCCGAGTTCGACCCTGCCGCCTCGATCAAGACGGACGTACAAAGATGAACTGAGGCACGGTCCACAAAAGCGCTCTGTCAGAAAGTCTGCGGCGTCGGAAATATGTTGCGCATGCTCCTACGTTGCGTGAGCCACACTGTCTGACCCAGCTCTTTTTAGTATCATGCTGTGCCACCGTGCGATATCCAAACGCACTGCTACATATAACACAGGCGCTCGCAGGCGCGCACGACCTGGCAACGCGCAGCTGTCCGCAGGCACTTCCCCCAGTAGACGCGACGATGAGCTGCTCTCTCGCGGCGCATCGGGCACAGACAGCACTGTGACTCGTCGCCCAGACATTCGAAAGCTGACGAAATTACCTTCGACCCCATCAACATGAGACGCCGCGCCGGCGGCAGTAGATAGGAGCAAGCACGCCCGAGGCTCGATCGCGTCGAGCATCTGAAACTGCTCGCGCAGCCCGGGATCGAAAAGAACAGGATCCATACGATTCTCAGCACTGAGCAGTAGCACCTCGCCAGGCCCCACGGCCCCAAGAAAATCAAAATCCCGCTGAAGCTGGAGTGCCCAAGGGCGCCCCCGAAGGGGAACTCGCTCGTTGACCTGAACTTCACCGAGGACTGCCACAGGGCCCAGCAGTGCCGACCAGAAATGCGCGCGGAACTCCGTCGCCATAGAAAGCCCCCGACACCACCGAAGCCGAAGCATTGCATACTCCGGGGAGAGGAGGCCCACTCGCAGATTCTCGAGGACATGGCGGCCGGCGAGGGTCTTCGCATGCCCCGAGTCTCAAGAACAAGCACCTTCCGAAATAGCTCGACACTTACGCGCAAGAAAAATGTCCAGAGCCAGTCGCCAATGCGGCGAATCGAGTCCGCCGCATCGAGCATAGCAGCATGCTTCAAGGAGAAGAAGGCGTTGGAGGGGTCGCGGCAGCGTAAAACATGAAAGCCGCCACCTTTCTGCATTCTAAAGCTCATCACGGTTTGGACAGCAATAGCTGTCTCCCGACGTCGAAGTTCGAGGCCGCCATAGACACAGTCAGGAGGGGGCCACGGGGTTCAGTTCTCGCTGGGAAGCCCCAGCAGCACAATTGCGGCCCAACGCACGCATGACCATGGTCACCCACTCGCCATCGCAGTCCACCTTCGCGTTCTTCAGCAATCGAGCTGCCTGGGCAGCGCGCCGCGACGCTGGCGCGCTTCTCCAGCGCAGACGAGCCCATGAGAACTCCAACTCAGCAGCTCGGCGTGCCCCTAGCTCGACAGCGCCATGTCCGAGGCCGGCCCTAGCTTTCGGACGACGTTCAAGTACCCATGCGGGGGGGGAAAGTAAGAGTGGCAACTCCGGCGGACAGCACCGACCGCGCGAAGTCCCCCAGGCCCGCAGCTCCCAGATCATCCGAGACATGGCGCCGCAGCCCCGCACGGCTAAAACAACAGCTTCGAGTTCTTCCCGCTGGGCCCGAGGTAATCCCTGGAGCTCGGCCCGAATTAGCTCTAGAGAGGACTCCGTGGCAGAGCACATTCCCTCTCTTGCTAGTCGCTTCATACGTTCAACCCACGTGGCTGCACAAGCCAACGAGAGCGGAAGAGCGTGAAAATGCCTCCAGCACGGAACGGGCCACACCTGCAAGCACGCGGGGAAGCCGACGCACAAGAAAGTGGTTGCACTGTTCCAGCGCCTGCTGACGTTCATCCACTCGCCCAGCTCGCACGCCTTCCCAATGCAACCGAGCTGTGCCCCTGAGTTGGCGACTGAGATGTTTGATCATATCCATATGCTGTCGTGCTAGACTGTCACTAACTGCACTGCCGAAAAAATATATTCGCTGTCTGCGCTGAGCCTGTAACCTCCCAAGTAGCTTAACACTGGCGACGCGTGCTTCAGTCCAAATGGGCGAAGCAGTGAAAACCTCGCAAGCAGCTCTGTTCGGCACATGCCTGACGGCAGTATTCATGATCACCTCCCCCTCCCCCTTCATCCCCTCGAACTCCTCCATGACCACCTCCACCGTCCGATTAAATGTGTGAATGAATTCCAGCCGCGCGAAACCGGTGTAAACGCACTCGCACATGGCTTCGCGACCTGGGCGAGCCTTGCGCACGGGGAGAGGGGCAGCAGCGGCAACAATATGAACGACAAGAAACAAGAACAACTGGCCCATGGTGACAAGAACAACACAGTCTGGTGAAGCTGCAACCTACGAGCAGTTCTCGCACGCACCGCGCATCTCTCGGCTGCTGGTAGAAATCTGCTAGGTCTGACCACATGATCGATGTGGCGTTCGTCTTTCTCGCCAATGAAAAATGCACGGTGCTGGGGAAAGAGCGCTGGCGCGCAGAGCGCCCGCGCCTGTGATATCCGCCGAATCACATCCGAGGCGGAAAAGGCGCTGCCAACGCCATACTCGTCTGCCAACAAACTTACCAGACGAAAGAGTCAGACCACCAGCCAAGTCCATGTAAAGTAGCGGCAACGCGTGATTGATGTCCATCCACTCAAGAATACTCTAAAGCCACGCAGCCCAACTCCCCGCTGCTTTGTGATCGGCCTGCTCTTGACCAGTCTTGTTGACTCGAAATGGAAAGTACAAACCTGAGGCGCCTAAAGCCTGCTCCTGCGGATTTACCATCACACAACCTGCGCGGCCGCGCAACTGCTTGGGAACTGGAACGAAGTGTTTGATCGAATGCTTCCAACAACGATACTGCTTGAGCACGATGCCCACGCCACACGACGGAGCAACGAGAGGCCCACGGTTGTTGCGAACATGTAGCATCCAACAGAGTCGACGATGAGCTCTGGCTCGACAAGCTCGCCTGAGCTACGCAGCTGGGCCCCGCCTAACACGATCGCGTCGTAGGCGGGGTGCTCGGCGGCAATGTGACTTATCCTGGACGCGCCCGATGTAGAACAGGGGCTGCAGCCAACGAAGCGGCAGTGGCCTGCGGAGGAACTCATGCGCACGCCCTCGGGCACACCACCGCCATGGCTGCGCAGCGAGAGGGCCCCTGCGAATGCGCGGTTCCGGGGGCACCCGAGGCGGCGCCGAGTCGCTCGCAGTGATTCGGGGCACCTGGAAGAGGAAGAGGAGGAGGAGGAGGAGGACGAGGGAAAGGAAAGGGGGAGGAGCGGGAGGAGGAGGAGGAGGAGCAGGAGGAGCAGGAGGAGCAGGAGGAGGAGGAAGACGACGACGACGAGGGGGATCAGCAGCAACTTCTGCAACCTCGACTTCGCCTCGGCGGGCGCGCATCACAATCGCTACACACGGGGGCGCCAGTTAGGCGACCTAGCCCAACGCTGCGCTTCGAGCTCGCTCTGCGCATGAGACAAGGGCACTGCCGCACGCCCTCGCCTACTGCGCCGGCCCCACTATCGCAGCGCCGCGCGCCCTGCCCAGTTGCCCATGGCCATGGAGCCGACGGCCACGACACTATCATGCAATTGCGGGCCCAAGACGCCGAGGACATCACTGCGCTCGCAAGCGCCGCGGGCCCCCCGCCACGAAGGCCCCTGTTCCCGTCAAGCGGGCGCTCGACCTACCATGGGGGACCACCGAGCGGCCCCGCCAAGCAACCAGCCGCAACGCCCGCCGCGGCCGCGGCCTCGGCTGCCACCTCCAATCACGGCGACTGGATGTAACCTTTTGCCGGGAGGTGAGGAGATGCTGATCTGCAATGGGCGCTTGAACACTCTTTCCCGCGCGAGGTTGCATGGGCCTTCTACATGGGCACTGCCTCGGACCCGACAGTCGGCGACCTCGCCGACCCCAACATAGTCGCGCAGTGGATCGAGGCCGTACAAGGCGGCCATGCACCAGCCATCATCGCGGGCCCACCCTGCGAGACGACGCTGGCAGCTTGCTGGGAGGCCATCGACACTGACCGCGAGGGGCCACGCCCCATCCAACGCCAGGAGCACAGGTCAGGTCAGGCCAGGCCTGCACGCCCGCGCAGGGCGGCCACTGAG